GGGGGGGGGGGGGGGGGGGGGGGGGGTTCCCAAGATGCAGAGGCTTCCTCTGGGAAGGGGAGGTTGGGGGATAAAAGAAAGCCGATGCTGGCCCAGCGGCGAAGGGAGGCCTGGTCCGGTACGCCGGGTCCAGAGGACTGTAGACGGCCCCGATCAAAATCAGCCTGCCCCAGGCCCAGAGCCAGTTACTGAGGAAAACAGCCCGGCCACGGCTTCATGCCGACAGCAGAGCTCTGATCAGGCAGAGGGAAGGGCGCCTGTTGGACACGGGCACCGACGCCCACTCTTCTTGCCAGGTTTTCACCTGTGTCCGGGATGACGGGATCACGGCTTGTCCTCTTTTTCTACCCTCTCCCACCTGGCCTCCCCCTACAGGGAGCCCGGGGGAAGCCCCTGGAGGAGCTAGCCCAGCCCAAGGGGGTGAAAATTGACTGATGCAAGGATGGTGTTCTTGTGGTCCCCAAGGCCTCAGCTGAGCCCCAGCCGGCCTGGTGCCTGGCCACGATGGAAATCCCAAGATTCTCAGGGCTTAGTGGACGTTTCTGAGGAGGAGGCAGCAGGTGAAATGGGTGCCTCAGGTTTTGCAACCCACCTGCTGACAGGTACCCCCGCAGGTGTTCACTGCTGTCTGGCCTGGGCTGAGCCCTGTGTCGGGCTCTGGGGACCCAGGAAATCAGCCGTGGGGATATGAACAAGGTGGTGGGGGAGAAGGGGCCGGATTCAGTAACTGGGACACAGGGTCTCGGTTCTAGCGTCGAGGTTAGTAAGTCTCACTGGAAGTCAGCAAGACTTCCCAGAGAGGGAGATGTTTTGAATTGGGCTTTGAGGGTTGAGTCATAGGTAGGAGTTTGCCAGGCCAAGAGAAAGGGGATGGGATGGCGAGAGGGTGAGCGCCCTCCAGCACAGGAATTAGCAGGTGCAAAGACACAGAGGTGCAAAGCGCAGTGGAGTGGATGGCAGTTGAGAAGCCTGGGAGGGTGGCAAGGTCCCTCCTCCTGCAGGGGAGCCTTGAATTTGGATGTTGACATAGTCCTCAGTCCTTTTGGCCCGGGGCCCACAGTCTCTGCATCCCCACCCTTTCTCGCCTGGATGCCTGAATGAGCCAGGTGCCTATGACCCACCCGGAGTGGGGGGCAAGGGGTTCTTTTCTGGGTTGCCCACCCGTTCAGCTCAACTCAGGCAGGACCAGGCCTCCCTTCCCCAGTGGCCCTTAGGATAAATTTCTCTACAAAGAAACGTTTCCATCTGCCCAACTGGGACTTCTCAGTGAGCCCTTCAGCCTCCGGGCTCTGCTGGCCTTGACGGGAGCCCAGGGAGCCCAGGGTTTCGGTGCAGGTGTACTGGCAGTGAGCAAAGCGATACCCTTAATCCTGCTCCGGGCAGGGTGGGGGGGAGCTGTTCTCCCCCACATGGCCATTGGCATTTCTCAGGTGATCATTTTGTGCGAAGGTTTAAGCTTCTGGGGCTGCCTTGGTCTGAGTACTGGGCTCGTGGCTGGGATCCCGGGGTCCTGGCCCAGCTCCGCAGCCCTAAGCTAGACCTGGGCCCCTTTGAGGAACTAACAGCCTGGTTACCAGGAACAAGATAGAGACACGGAAAAATGTGCGAGGTAGAACCTGGTCAGGGCACTCAGGCCCACAGGCCAGACCCACTCAGAGGGATAGGTAGGCTTTTGTCCTGTGGAATCCAGGA